TCTTGTTGCTTTAAGGTGCTGGAAAAGGGAGGAAGTTTTTTCTTCTTTTCTGACTGCGTTCTTTTGTTCTGCGATGCGTGCATTTATTCTCCTATTCACTCAGACGTTTTTAAAACTCACAGCCTGTGCACACGCACACTCTTCCACTCTTTTAAAAACATTGGAAGGCATCCAGGAAGAGGGAAGAGGCAGAGGGGCTGGAAGTGTATGCGTGTGCACAGGCTGTGAGTTTTAAAACGTCTGAGTGAATCCAGGAAGAGGGAAGAGGCAGAAAGGCTAGAAGTGTGTGTGCTGTGCACAGGCTGTGCTGTGATTTTAAAAACATCTTGTGCATGCACAGGTTGTGAGTTTTAAAAATGTCTGAGTGAATCCAGGAAGAGGGAAGACAGAGGAGCTGGAAGTGTGTGCGTGTGCAACCGCTGTGACTTTTAAAAATGTCTGAGCGAATCCAGGAAGAGGGAAGAGGCAGAGTGGCTGGAAGAATGTGTGCTATTCACAGGCTGTGAGTTTTAAAAACATCGGACGGAATCCAGGAAGAGGCAGAGAGGCTGGAAGTGTGTGTTCCTATAGTATCTTCCAGCCCCTCTGCCTCTTCCCTCTTCCACAACATCCCCCCCCTCACCCCAGCCACTCACCAGTTCTTTCTTCTTCTGGTTCTTCTGAGAACTTCTTGGCAGCATGGTGTGGATGGGCGGGGGCAAATGAAAGAACGATCGAGGGGAGGGAGCGTTCTGGTACGGGGTCTCCTGACTAACAGGTACGGGAAGGCACGCTAAATTTCACCATCTGGTATGGCTGTACCATGCCATACCGGTTGAAACCCACCCCTGATACACACACACGCGCACACACACACCATATTTAATGTTAAAAATGACATAGAAAATCATATATTTTATGGTGATCTAAATATGCAAGGTTTTATTTAGCATCCTCTTTTCTAATAATAGTTCACTACCTTGAGAACACTATAGAAATTGTGAGATTAGCAGTGACTCAGATATGTACATTTAATATGTGATTTAATATTAGCTTTATAATCTTTCTTTCCCTCTCCCTTATTTCTGTCTTTCTTTTTTATTACAGATTGACTACACAGGAATAGATCCAAGTAGTCCTTGCAATAAATGTTTAAATGTATCTTGGAATGCCCCATCCTGCTCCTGCGTCATTAACTTCACATTGGATCAGTCGTTTGAGGTATGTTATACTCTTCCCTGTCTAGTTTTGTCTAGTATTGCCTCTTTCATTCTAGCAAAATAAATCAAGGAATAGCTGGGGGGCGGGGGAGGAGGACAAATGGAGGTTTCTTGAATGGCTAAGAGAAATCCCAGATCTAAATCCCCTTGAGATTCTGTGGGATGATTTGGATTGGCTTGTGCATGCAAGAAACTCCTCAAACATCAGTTGGCTGAAATCTGCATCCAGGAATAGGAAAAAGTTCTTCCCAGTCAATAGTTACAAGAAATAACTACTCGAGATTGTTTCTGTTAAATGGGACAATGGCAGATATTAGAGCCGTGTACTTACTTTCCCCACAAAAGGAAATGGCATAAACTCTTAACTTCTTGAATAAATGATTGCAAAATCAGTTTTTTCTAGTTTTTGTGTTCAATTACATCACTTAGTGAAGATAAAATATTGATAGACCCACATATGTTAAAGAAAACTTTCCTTTTCACATGACTCTAAATCAGTGTTTCTCAACCTTGGCCACTTGAAGATGTCCGGACTTCAACTCCCAGAATTCCCCAGCCAGCAAATGCTGGCTGGGGAATTCTGGGAGTTGAAGT